CCATCACAGAACTTTAGGCAGAAATAATTCTTCATTAATTCTCTAAAACTACTGTTCTTGTCTTCAAGCCCAGTCCTACACTCCTTCCATGCAGAAACCCCCATCTTCAGAGCTTTATTCTACCTTGATGCCTGAAGAACAGGTCTGTTCCATAATGACTAGGAAGAAGAGCAGCCTTCACACCAAACAGTCAAAACCCACAGGCATCCCCTTCTGTTACTGTATTTTTGGTGTATAATCCACAAAACCTCTCCTTTCCCCACAACTGGAGACTGGCGTGCCTTGTGCCTGCATGCAGGTAACAAGAGGAGCTGTTTACCTCCCTCCATCCCTCCCTGGGAGCCCTCCTGCCTGCCTGACACCACTGCCTGCCTCAGCCCCAGCACTCCCCATCTGTCACCCACCTCTGACTTTGTGCAGATTACTTGAGGATTTATTTTCAAGCAGGATATAGGGATGAAAATAGGCATTACTTTGTCCTCCCACTCCTGAGCTTCTACCTATTGGTTTCATTAACTTGTTTTACGTTGTCATGATATCATGCTGTAAGCTCTTTAGGGCAGAGATGGCCTTTGTAAGGGATACGTGCACAGTGCCCACACCAGTATCCCCGCTCTCGCTGACTGAGGTGTATGACCACTGCAAGAAAAGGAGTATTAAATACTGATACTGGAATCCTGTGAGTCAAGTTTTCCAATTCAGGCCCTAGAACAATGAAAAACTCGACCATAGAGCAGGGATTGTCAGCTCACAGGCCACACTTTCATCAACCATGCTCTGCTCATTTCTAGATTTAGTTTCCATTAAAATGCAGCCCAGGATTAAAATAAGTCAGCTGGATCTATACAGTGGGTAATTTGTGATATTGCACCAGGGTACTGTTTTAATGACGCTACACCAATATGCCCCCCTGCGCCATCCTCAGCTCTGTTGCCAAAAAAACCCCAAACAAAACAGTCTGATCTATGAAAGGACAATAATTCTCTGCTTCGTATACTGGAAGGCAAAATATTTTTCTACAAGTTATTGAAAGTAGTTGTTTTCAGATGACTACTTTAGTAAATATGAAACCTCCTTCTCTATGCATATGCCAATTTTAGAAGAACCAAAAGTCCGCATATTTCAGAAAATCACACAGGTAACAAAACTGGTAGTAGAGCTGCTTTGACTGACAACCTTAACCTGAACATTATTTGCTTTGTGTTGTTTATTAAGGCTTTTTATTGTAGAAGGGGGGGCAGTACCTAAAATCCTCACAAGACTACTTAATTTACTGGTGAAAATGTAGCATTTCAGTGAAATTCGATATTTTCTTTCATCAAAGGCAGGGAGCCTCAACCCACATGTTAACAGTAATGTAACAAGCCTACTGTATGTGCTACAACCGAAGATCCTTTTCCAATTAGAATTCATTTAGGTTGGGGGAGAGGAGGGGTCGGAGCAAAGAGGTGGCTCTGGAATTGATCTAAAACTGGAATTCAACCATTCTGGCTGGGAGCATTAACCACTCAGCTGGGAATCCCAAACACTTGCTCGGACTCTGCAGCGAACCAGAAGCAGAAGAGCAACGTTAACAAGGAGAACAGTTTGTCCCTGGAAAACTAAGGAAATGCAGACAAGATTCTTTTTCTACAGAGGAGGAGGAAAAAGTCTGTTGCACAAGGAAAAAAAAAACAACAAACAAAAAACAAACCACCAAATATTCTATAATTTTCCTGAAACTCAAGTCTGGGTTTGCTTTTCAGTTCCAGCTCTGATAGAATCTCCAGATCAAACTCATTAGTGTTGGTTAAATCCAGGTTTGCTGATAGAAATGTGTGGGACAGCAAACAAAATCAGTATCAGTCCTCGAGAGAGGATGTGCCTCTTTAATTGAAAAAGGCAGAGTAATCATTCATTTATTTAACCCAGAGATGATTATAATCTGAAAACCTTGAAATCCTCTTACACAACAACTGTTTTGGCAAGCCCCTCTGTGTTCCAACAAATATTAAACTGTGCTTGCCATTTGTCTAAGGAATCTTGTATTAATAAACATGAAGAAGAACACTTTTACCTCCCACACTCAATGACAGAAGAAAACAAAGACCAGCTGTATTCATCAATGGATCCTTGTTCTGCACATAAAGGCTAATTACATTTTACTTCAAGCCTACACATGGAAAACTTTGCTGCTGCCATCTTGTCAAATTCAGCTTCTGATATTCCAGCTGACAGACTGCAATGACTGCACATAATAAACTTCTTTCTGCTATTAACACCTTCAGCGCCCTGCACGCGGGGTATCTGTGGGATGTAGGGGCCAGGGGAAGGGGCACGGGCAGCACCTCCGCTGCCACCACACACACGTTACCTGCTCGCTGGCAAAAGGAACGGGGGATTTTTATAGACTGGGATGACAACAGTGAATTTGATTGAAGAGTTGCATATCAGCAACTGATTTCATTTGAACATGCCTTGCTAGCATCAAGTTTGGACGGTACCTCTGTACCTTCCTCTGCACATAGTACTTTCAATGGGGACATTTTGAAAAGATAAACAAACAGGTTGACATAATGATTTCCAACTTTAAGATCACAACAAGCGGCCACTAGAACAAAATCCAGACTCCTTAATGCTGATACTGAAGACTTCTTACTGTGTATTTCTTTTGCTGCTTCTTTGTTTGAAAGATTTTCAAAGTTACTAACAGTTGAAAGACAGCTTTATTCCAAAACTGAAAATCTTAAAAGCACTGTTAGCTTTAAAAAATTGACAATTATCTTTTTTTTCCTGAAGGCACTCCAATTCATCTGCATCAAATAAGCGTCTGTAAAACTAACAATTCTGGCCTAAGATAAAAATCACATGTTTTTAAAACATAACATTAAAATTGGCAATACAAGTAGCTTTTCAGACCTAGATCAAAAGAGGGTTTCTTTTTAGAAAAGAATCAAACTGTCTTTCACCATTTTTATTGGTGTTTTTTCAACATTTCCCCAAGCTTTTAAAATTAAAATAGATGACTCAATTTCACTGTCTACATTCAGTTCCCTTTTCATGTTTTTCTAGATTTCCATATTGCAAAATGTGGGCTACAAACGCCACAGATGACTCTTGTTGTGAAAGAACTATTCCTGTCATAAATATCTGAAACAATGATAAAATATTTCTGTTGTTATTAGGTCCTACAAGTTTGTTTTCACAGTACATTAGTTTGAGAGATAAAGTACATGCTTAATGTATGCTTCAGGATTCAGCTCCATGATCACTATATCCTAGACCCAGCCTTCAGAATCATTCTGCTAGAGAACATGATAAACTTCTTGTTACTGCAAAGGCTACTAAATTTTATGTAATTCTTTATATATTAGGTAAGAATCATATTCAAGATCATATGAAAATATTTCTGCATGAATCTCTGTAAGAATGAAACACATTAGAAACACAAGCAAACATTTTAGAGTATGTCTTTTGCTTGGTGTAAGATAAATTACAGCACTTAGGGAAACAGTATTAAAAAATGAAGCAAACACTCTGCAAATAAAAACATTAGAAAGGGTGAGGGGTTATTGGGTTCAGTGCCTACTATCACTGAGCCCTAATCTCTGACTGTTCCCACAGAAACGACTGCAACACAAAATCACAGCAACAGAGCTGCCAGCATCAGTTACATGCAGGAAAAAAAAAAAAAAAAAGGCAATCTGCAGTAATATAAGGCTCCATCAGAAACATCATTAGTATGCATCTCTTAGAGAAGGATGAAATCAATGAGGGAAGAAAAATACTCGGAAAAAAACTGGACTTACAGAGCGAAACTAAAATTTACCTAAAAAATTATCCTGAATTATGTAAAAGGTGTTTCAACTGCAAGCACTGATTCTTAACTACCTATGGACAATTTTGAAAGATCCAAGTTCCCCATGTACTCAGTGAGGAATCGGATCCTCAATCTTTGCAGAACCACATGCTAAGAAATTAAAACTTGTGAATTTGACTGATTTTGAAAAACCTCTGTTATCTAGACCGCCATGAGCCATACCCGAAAGCACCTACCTACAGACAGAACCAAGACTGAGTCCTTCGCCCGTCAGGCCTAGGCTGCAGTTTCTCTTGCCCCAACATGGAGACTGCCAACAGCCTTCCCTTAGCATTGCTCCTGTACCAGAACGGTGCTAAGGGCAGGAGTAGGGGTTTTCCTCCCTATTCAACTGATCACCAGCCGAAGCTGGGGCTCTGCGGGTAGTGGGCTCAGGGATGTGCCCTTGCTCTTACAGCAGGCCAGGAACACCCATGTGAAATGGCTGCTTCTTTCCCATCCCATTTCCAGACACAGAAATTACTCTTTGGGCTTAATACTGCTGATCATGAGAATTCCTTCTCATTACTAACTTTCCTTAAATATGACGAGTTCAAAGAAAAACAGCAGAAGTCTGTCTCTCTTTTGTTGTTTCCTGCACTGATTGTTAATAAAACCAGGGCATAATTGAAAACAGTAGCTATTAAGAAGACAAGGATATATATTTTTGAGACTACCTTCATGTTCTACTTGAAAAGAAGAAAAATCTGCCAAAAATGCTACTCTCTGTAATTTGGTGTGAATTTGACAGAGTGCTGACTGCTACCCCAAAAGCAGAAAGAACCAGGGTGCCTAACAGTGAAATAGAAAACCTTTACTAAACTAAATTTTATTTTCACCAAGATTGGAAGATCACAGTAAATACCTTATTTCTGAAATTGCCCTATTTCTAACTAAAATGTAAGAGATACATAGTAGATGCAGCACCTGAGAATTAAACCAGAAATGCAGCAGCATGTGTGCCAGGAAAAGTGTCTTGTTGGGTGGAAGAAAATATGAAAACTAATAATCTCTCTATAGGAGGCCAAATTATGACTGTGTTTTCCAACAAATTTGGACTCCTGAACCTCTTCCATTTCGTCCGTCTCCAACAGACAGATGCAAAACAAAAAAGCAGTGATACCCTGAAGGAAGACATAGAAAGAAAACAGTAAAATCTTACTTTGCAGTAGTTTCTTCATCGTATTTTGTTTTCAGATCAAATAGTTCTGTTCTGGTTTTTTCCAAGGCTAAAAGGCATAAACATGAAGCATTACAGCACTGTAACAGCAGTGAAAAGCAAAAAGACTACTCCTTTGTCTTTTATTCAGCCATAAAGCAAGCTGTACACCTCCTGATAAAAAAGCCTTTGCTTCATCTTTCTACCTAGGCAAACCACTATGACTTAGAAAAAACATAGCTTTTGATTTTTCACAATTTCTTATGGTATTTTTTTTACGTTGCAAAAATTCCCAGTTTCTGCTTAAGAAAGCTAGACATTATTAATTTATTATTAAGCTGGTTAAACTGCTTATTAATTTGAAATATTTATTGCAGTAATTCAAGGAATAAATTTACTTGTGTTCTCATAGTAAACAAAACCGAATGTGTCCAGATCTGGAACGTATGAGTATGAAGAGATGAAAATTAATGGCAAGCAAGTCATAGCAACAGGCAAGACACACTGGTAGAAACTGGGTTCATACCGAAAGCAGATCACTACACGTATTTATCATAGTTCAGAAATGTGTGAAACCAGAGCAAAACACAACATGGATGAAAAGTTCCATGGCCTGCTTTAATTGCGGCGATGCTCTAATGCTGTACGGTGCTTCATGCTCGGCCTTGTCCACTGTGTTTACCAACAGACTGGCTGCAACACAAGCGTTCACTTTAAGTGCGATGCCCAAAAGAAACTCTGATTCACAAAGCACGTTTGAGCTCTGTGGGATCTCTCTGCACTTGCAAGAGCTGGTTCACACACAGTCCTGATACATTTAATGATCTCTATCCTCTCACCTCCAGCCTGATCATTGGTATAGGTCAGAATAGCGATGCCAAACCTGTTTGCAAAGCTTGAACTTTGTGTTCGGCTTCTTCCAGCTTCGAGGCTGTTGACATCTGTGTCTCCTGCAATTTTCTATAAAGGGAAGAGAAGAGGTGAGAACAGAGCTCGTAATCATGTTAAACAACTTACTTGTATTTTGCAAATTTGGAAGATAGAGTGATTAAATGTCTCAACTGTAATCAGACAACTGACAACACCACACAGACTACAAGGTGCTTCAATGGGACCCATAAATCATGTCACATTGCAATACTGTTCATACTTTGCAGTCCCACTTATTAAAATTTTAACAGTGTAGCCACCTCATAACATAAGCTGTGAACATTATACAAGAGTTGACTGCTATATAAATGACAACTTTAGTGGAAGGTTTTCTTGAGCATAATTTGTTTTGGAAATGTCACACACATTAAGAAAATTGTCACCAAGCACCCTCTGTTGTACAAAGTTAGTACAAGAAGAATGATACATTTCCATTTTACTGTCATAATGAAGAAATTTGTTGCCATAACTGATACAGTGAATAGATGTGGCAGCTGTTTCATCATAGCTGCAATGGATGCCAAATGCAGCAATATTATTAGCTACTCTTTAAAAAAACACACATATTTCAAAACAAATCTCACATTGATATTTTCTATATAACATGAGCAAACCTTTAATATGCTCATGTTTCTTATGTCCACAGGCAATATTTTCTTGTTTGTGTCAGTCATACACATTTTAATATCATCTGGCCACACAGTCACTACACTCTTTGCTCAAGGCTAGACTACAGGAGTTATAAAACTCATCTTTACAAGGGAGTTGCTCCAACATCTCCCAGGAGTTGCTGCTTTTTACAACATCGCTTTTAAGATATTCTGCAGATTTCAGAATTGTGAAATGGCTTATGAAACTACCAGCATCCTACTTGCACTCCATAAGGTGCATAAATTTATTCTCCAACACTGCTGACCAGGTTAATAACTATTTATAGCAAAAAACATGCGTCAGTTCCCTTCATACCAAATTATATACTTTGAGAGCTCAAACCCTCTCTTACATACACTTTTATTTGCATTCCACGACCTGCCATTTTATTTTATTTTTAAGCATATCTAAATTGCACTTGTTAAAGCCACTGCTTACGTGTTACTTATCCAAAAGTAACCACGTATATTGATGAAATAAAAAAGGCTTTACATTCACCAGTAGATTCTTCTCACTCAGACCTGAATTTGAACAACCAACCCACCAACTAAAAAGCTCACCTAAACCGAAGGCCTTCCACATTAAGTTGAACATATCATAGCTTCAGTGTTATTCCTCCGTGGGAGAAATAAATTCTCAAGTCCCTTTTAAGACCCTTGGTCTTGTCCTGCCTGATTTGTTTGCCCATGAACCTGCAGGACTCAAACATTCCCTGCTCATTTCCAAAAGATTAGAAATGGATCCAAGATGCTTCCAAAAATCAGTGATAAGTAATTAAAATGCCTCTTAATTTTGACATGTAGGAATATGCAAACCTTTTCAGGATAAATCAGAAGCACATCCCCTCTCTTAGACATTAACATAGGAGCAAGGGTGATGCATCTTTTACCCAGGTTCTTGGGTACAGTGCTTCATCTGAAAGAGCTCAGGGCTGTAGAGATTGTACAAAGGTACCGTGACACACAAAGCGGACACAGCAGACTGAATTACAGTCAGCTAATGGAGAAAGATTAGTGTCACAAAGGACAATACAGCTAGTGAAGAATAAAAGCAGGTTTGCACCCTTCTGAACATGACACCCCCCATACAACGCTACCGCAAAGAAACAATCTGTCCTTGTTTTACTTCCACACTTTCACGATTGTTTTTCTGTGCAAAGTTGAGTATCAAATGATTCCGTGTCAAACACATAAATCACCAGAATCGCTCAATATATTAACTGTCTCAGTATGCTGAAAAGAGTCCTGGCTTGGAACATTAAACAGAAAATTACATCTCCCCTCCTCTAAAATACCTGCAGATGCACACATGCACACTCACCTCTCCTTCTCCGCAAAATCATTTTGTAACTTTTGTTCTTTTTCAAGCGCTATATTCTCCGCTTGGTTCTTCAGGGTCTGTTCATATTCTCGGATTTTCTCTTTAAGTGCTTTTATTGTAACCTCTATAGAAAAACAATAGGGGAAGAATGAGTTTACACAGCTCCATGTGGTTCCACAACACAAGGCTTTCTTTACCCTGTAGGCTCAGTGTGTTTTAAACTTTAGCTCTTCAACTCTGACACAAAATCAATGGATATGAGTCCCTTTGGAGACCTTTTACTCCCTAAATGTTAAATTGAACTTTAAGTGTTTAGGTTGAGAAGGATCAATGGAGTTTGCTGGAAAGCAGAGTGAAGAAGGTTCCTCTAACATGACTTTAAAAAAGAAAAAAAAAAAATCAATTGTAAAATATAATATCACCTTATTGACTAGTCTTAAATTAGCTCGCTGCTGAGTGGAGATTAATAAAGTCCCAGTGTAGGTTTAAGTATGCATTTACACACAGGACAGTTAATTCACACAACTGTGCTCATGTAAAAAAGAGGCAGTTTTACTATGGTTCATGCACAGATGCAATCTAACACTAATTGAACACATATCTGGGATACAGCTACGTTCTGTTTCACAACTGATGAAAAATATGGCAGTTAAGATTTAACTGCTGTATTAACAGTAGATCAGATTCAACAGACACTCTGGAGCCCTTCATACTCTAGTTGCTCTAACTGCCTTGTCATCGACACCGGGTTTTATGCACAATCATTAACTGTTATAACTTTCTGAGTGCACTTGTAGCCTTCCAGGGAATTTGCAGAAACCCTTCTCTCAGATAAAGCAGCTATTTTGCATTTACTGTGCCTGGTAATGGATGACAGAAGATGCATAAACCTGCAGAGTTACGGCACAGCCTCTGACGGACAGCATCTCCTTACGTGCCCTGATCCATTCCTACGTGAAAGCCCTCTGATCCCACCCACAGGAAAGGACTGAATCCTTATAGGGCTCATAAGAGGAAAAGCAGGACATTCACCAGGGTATGCTTTGTAACAATAATGGAATTTGGAAAAAGTGTTAGACTGCCAGAAGACTCGCAGCTAGCAATACATTTCAATGTACTTACACAGAGATGTGGCGGTTTAAAGACATCAGCTTATTAACAGATGCCATTAACCATGCTTTAGGAAAGAATACCTTTGGACATAAAAAGCTTCCCATTCTGCAGAAAGACAAACTCTACTATGAAAAGTAAAGCCTACAGACTTGGGGAAAAAAATCTCAATAATATCACACAAAACCATGCATAATCCTTTCAAAGTCTAGACTTTTAGACTTGACTACAGAACTGTAAAGTCAGACAGTAGATAACTGGTGACAAGGCCCGCTGTCTGGGAATTACACTGAAGGCAGCTTGGGCCACTGTGACCACAAAAAAGGGGGGGGAAGAGTGGGAAAAATGATTGCCAGCAAACCAGCTACTTCTGAATGAAGGAACGGGATTTTGCTAGCCGTGCAAAAATCAGATGAGGCTCATTACTGAGTAATAGGCCGTGAAAAGGACGTCACTTTTTTTTTTTTTTTTTTTTAAGCAAAGGGAAATTCTTCTCTGAGATCTGGGAAGTAATACAAATTCTGATCTTTTCCTGAATAAGCAAAGGATGCTCCTTCACATAGACAAAATGATGCTCATTCATACATACAAAGGATGTACTCCTTCTACTGGAGACACCTTTGCTCCAGGTATTTTCAGACATAAATCTGCAAATGTATTCAGGTATGTAGAGAAGCAGAGAGTTAAATAATCTTATGGAAATGCATTTAATTGTATCTTGATGAAGCTGGAATGCTTCATTTTTAAAGGAAACAAAACTAGAAAAAATGAGTGCCAAGAAGTGCACAAAAATGGGAAAAAAATATGACATTTGTAACAAAAGCTGATTTTACCTTTAAGCACCTAACAATAGATGTGTTAGACAAGCACAGTTTAATCCTCTACACTGCTTGAACAACTAAGTGCCTTCTTTACTGTTCAGGTCAGCTAAAACTTGTCAGCCATTGCCATTTATACCAGGTTTGGAAGGAGCCTTGTATAGTTCATACACAGCCCTCCAAACAAAGAGATTAACTGATCAAAGCACCCTTAGCTAACAACAGGCTTTTGCCTGGATATCTTATTAATCCCTGTTTGAAACAGAGTGTAAAACTATTGCACTGGAGTGAAAACCAATGCAAAGAGTACAGTGGCAAAGCAGAAAGGAAGGTGGTGCACACTGGGGAAAATAAAAATGCCAGTTTATGAGTGGCTGCAGCAAAAAAACTCCAAAAGTCAAGATCTTTTCCACTTTCTGGGATGACCCCTCTGTCATGCCTGGATGTACAAGATGCACAGCCTCAGGAAAATTCTGTACAGTGAACTGCAATTATTGTACATTTCCAGCAAATACACTGTTGGGCTTGGAGCATTACAGCTCCCACATGACACCTTTTGCAGTCTGGCCTGAATCCTTGCATGCTGACACCTGTCCTCTCCATAGGCCACACCCTCGATATTAAAATATCTAACTGCATATATACCCCTTCTGCTGAAATTAGAGATGTAACAGAACCAAGTTAGTTGCTAATTTAGCTTTCAAATGTTACCCACTTGGGTGCAACAGTTCCATAGGATTTTTTAAAACCCTTTATTTTCCCAAAAGACCATTTCCCTTTCCACCACCCAGAACCAAGTATTAAACACGGAAATGAAAAGTCCCGTGTATAGGCAAGTAGGTGTACTGGTGCAGGAAACTTTCTTCTGAATTACAAGAAAAACTGAACATTCTTAAAGATAACAGGCTTTAAATCTCATTGAGATTTTCACGTATTTTCATGTACTCTGGTCTCATTAAAACTTACTTAAAATAATTAACCAGCATTAGCTTGTATTTACATTGCTCTGTGGATAGTCTCTAGAGTAAAGATAAAGTATGTATGCTGAATGTACTCCAGTAAGACATTTAGATAAGGAAAAACAGAGTACAGAAAAAGTTTCATTTTGTACAGATTTGTATATGTGTATAAAATACTGGATTTTTGCATTTGTCTGTATAAAATGTATATACTACAAGCACCCACACCCACATTCAGCTTGATGTCAGCAGTAGCAGCGTCTCTTATAAAATTTCTACATCTAACTTCAGTCAGGGGTGTAATTTTCAGGTAGTGCTGAAGGCTACAACCAAACATGCAGAATAACAGCTCTATTCTCTGACTTGGTGTTAAAGAAGACAAGACTTTTAAAGAAATCCAAAGAGTCTAGCCAAAGCCATATCTATACGCATAAATACAGAGCTGGCTATAATAGACTATTATACTTTCTTTACTGAATTTCAATGCTACTGTCAACCCTACCTGAAAGAAATAAAACTGAATTTAATCCCTGTCTTCAAATTTCAATATGCATTAAAAGCTGATAAAAGAAAATGTTTGCAACCTACCCTGATTTTTCACCTCAGCGAATTCTTTATTGTATTCCTCTAGAGTTTCCCTAAGTTTCTGGTTCTCTGTTTCAATATCGTGCATACGTTGAACCTTCAGCTGAAGCTGCTGTCCTAAATCCAAGGCTGGAACAGGATCTGAAAAAGAAACAGTAAAATAAAACGTAAGATAACAGGAACACTTCTGCGACTTGAGCAGCTCAGAGCACAAGTGTCCTTTTTTCTCTATTAATATCCATTTTAAATGCCAGTAAAGCCCTACTTTGAGTTATTAGTCCTGGATGTTCTTCATCTCATAGTCTGCATTCTTCAAAAAATCTAGATAGTTCATTGCATTTATGTCCCTTTAAATTGGGGCACACCTTATTCATCCTGGTGTTAATCTACAGGGCAGTGTCCCTGGCTGCAGACAGTCTTGATATGAAGGCATGTGAGAGTCTTAAATTTCAAATTTTTATTTACTAAATGAGAATTTCCAGGTAAAAAGCAATCAAACTGCACAGCTTACTGACACAGCTAGTGTCCCTCACATACCTTGCTTCTGTGGGGGCAAAATTCTGAAGCAAATAGTGCCCTCCTGCACAGCTGAGCTCAAAAAGGTTAATTGATCATGGAGATCTGAGCTATACTTTTTTTTAACTGACAGATCAATAACAATCAGAAATATTGTCTGGATGGAATTAATTCCATGAACCTTGGGGTTTGTGACTCTTGTCCCCTCTTTTTCTTATACTACTAATTGAATAGACATTAAAAATTATTTTGAATGTCCTCTCAGTATTAATTCTCTGATGTTCATCCCCTTCTGCTAAAGAGCATCCTTAGCACACACCTGATGTGTGCACGCATGATCTATTCTGGGACTTCTTCCCAGTCAGAACAGGGAAATGCTGGAGTCCAATGGACTTTTAAAAGATTATTGAATATATTTCTGTTATGGGCGCCAGCATCTCTTGTGAAATGACTGCAAAGATTTAGTCTCCTGTTGAGGAATGCTAAACACCAAACTCAGTGGATCAACAACAGTATATATTAGGGAGTTCACTTAATTTTCAACCACCACAGTCATTAATTTTTCAGACCACCCTCAGTCTCTGGAAACACATAATAAGTCTATTGTACCTCTGTTAACACATTAAGCATGAGACTGTGTGTTTTTTCAATATGCCAGCGTTGTTTCATAGTTTATAAAAGAATAGTACTGGGTTATGTTGAGCTCAGAGACATTATAAGTAGCAGCCTGCTACACTTTGTTACTTCGGTTCTTCAACAGCTTATGGCATTACCCTGTTCATAATACAAAATCTAGGTTGCTTGTCATCTGCTCTCTGTACATACATAGTTTATGACTACATAGCTTTTTCATTTATGCTTTTTAGGCCAAATACTTTTCGTTATTATTATCTGTATTAAAATATTTATAATAAATCAAACTTAAAATGTTATTGTGGTAGAAGACAGGGGGTACAGGTAAGGAATTAAATATAAAGTTTAAGTCACAGCAGTAGCACGAGTTAAAGGCCCTGCAATATTTATGTATGGTCCAATTACAGTACGGGCTGTCACAACATCACCCTTCTCCCATGTAGGTCTGCCGACCTTTATCTGGAATGACCGTTTTGTCACACTTCTGCAGCTCAGCATTTCTCCAAAAGAGCTAGCCCAGGACATTCATCTGCTGAACATAAAGAAAGGCTGGATTGTCTCAATCTATCCGCGTCTGAAATCATTACAGGAACCGCAAAACATACCAGGAAGAGATCTTAAGCTTCAGCTATGATATTTCTATATAATAGTGTTAAAATGCCACAATGGACGAAATTGAACTTTACAAAATTGTGGGTGCACTTTTCCCCCCTTGTTTTAATGTGCCCATTGTAAAAAGCCATGACATCCACAAAAAGTATTTTGCTCCAAAAACTCAGGGCTTTTTATATTTAAATCAGTAAAGAATTAAAAGACAAAAATAACATGGGCATTATAAAGTGAATAATGACTAAAACTTTAGTCAAATTTGCAATCCCTGAGAAGCTTTATGTACAAAATGAAAATGTCTGCAATCTCATAATTATTCATCAGGACATGTATATTTAATTTAGCTCTATTAAAGGTTAATGTTCAAGTAGCAAAAGAGTGGCAGAACAAACAAAATGTAAAAACAGTCTTTGTGCATTAAACTTCAAACTTTACTAGAGCCTACTTGAAGGACTAATGGCCTGCAGCCACTAAATACTGCTTAAGGACATGTAAAATCCATGGCTGAAGCACCTCTTAAGACTTAATTTTTAGAAACTGCATTAAAGAAAACTAACAATAATATGACCAAGACATTTTGGGCAGAGAGACAAATACCTCATTTCTCATGGCAAGCCCCAACATGCTTTTTAATCTCAGAAAACCTAAATTCCCATGATTTCTGAAGTACTTATAGACACCAATTAATCTGAAACAACTATAAACCTTACAGTCAGAACAACTTTTTTCTTACCTGAGTGAAGTGGATTTAAAAATAAATAAAAATACTCTCCTTTTCCCAACATATGCATGCATGAAAAGGCATACCTTTTTGTATTAATCAGGCTTAAAAAGTATGCTTCATGTCATTTAACAGGAGGTCACTGAATTTTTAAACAAGCAATGGACCAAAACTTTCAATTCATTACACAAACAACAGGCATACACATTAAAAAAAAATAAAAATCAAGTGGCATTAACTTATGGAGAGAGGCAAAGAAGGAAATGCCCTTTCTGTAGTCTGTAAAAGAGTAAAATCACCTCACTTAACACTTAAATGTGGAAAACTCATCACAAATTATTCTCTTGGTTTGAATCTTCTCTAGCATGTAAAAGTTCAGAATCCCTGCTAGGCACAGGATAAGTAAGAAATGAGAAAACTGGTAAAAAGAATCTGATCATCCAGAACTTGAAAAAGTGTTTTGAGAGAACATTATCGCCCCAAACTGTGACGTCTACTTTTATATTAATTTGATATATTTTTTCCTCCTGCTTCCTATTCTGTTCCACTTTCCTAATCCACTTGTTGCATCCCATACCCATGAAGCAGCCCTCTGCATCATGTGTCTGTACACAGCCCAGCATGGATCTGAATCCCATCTGGATCTGATCCCTGGCAAGGCTTCCTCCACACTACCGTAGCAGAAACAGTAACTGCTGTATTTTTAAAAACAGTATCTCTAAAGCCTGTTCCTGCCTTTATTTCCCAATAAAATTGCCTTTCGGTGTCGTTGCACAAGCAGCTCTGAGCACATCCCTGTGCTCACTCACTGCTGTGACCCAGCACACGGGTCCCCTTGCAGGCGAGCCTCTCCCCTCACAAAGGAGGTGGATGGACACGTCTCAATGAACACAGATGCGAACAAAATTAATGTCACAAACGTAACGTAATTTTTATAGCCGTTAATACTTCACATCAAACAAGCTGATGCAACGCAGCCACAGTAACACCTCTCAGACTGTTCTCACACCATATACGCACACAGGTGATAAATATTTTTCGAACAGCAGCGCAAGAGAACCAATTTTTCTTTTGCTGCTGCTTACGCACGTAAACTACATATTTTACAATGTTAAAAAGAAACGCAGAGAGGGATCTCACGGAAACATGACTAGCTAGAGGCAGCACCTCAGCACCCGCAACCCTGTGCTGCTCAGAGCAACCCCAACCTCAGCCCAGGAGATGAAACGGGACTATCGGTGACCAGCTGAATTTCCAAAGTGAGTTTCGTGATTTTTTTTTTTTTTTTTTTTTTAAAAAAAAGTGTTCCTCCCTCATTCTGCGAGCTGGAAAAAGACACAGATCTTAATAATTCAATATAAGTGTTTACACAAAGAGCACTGTGGGTACCGCTGCCCTCCCCTGTCATTAGGCAGGAATGAATGCACCCCCTTGTGCGCGCCGCTCCTGCCATGACATCACGCTCCTGCCTGCGTTACTTTTCGCCAGGGCACTCTAGGCTAATGTAATCATACGATTACATAATTAACCCAGCTGTCTCATTAAGAAAATCAACTGGAATTCAGGGCATAATTAGTCATACAGCAATTAGCATGCTGATGAGCAACTGATGAAAAGCTGTCTCGATATAGAGTATGCTGGGACCACCCTCGTTATTTAAGGAGCGGGGGGAAAAGCCCACCTCGGCTCGAGGAGAACAGGCTCGGCCTGGAAGGGCCCTGCGGGCGCCCCGGGGG